TCTTTGAACCTTGCGATGGAGTTAGCTCTCCGTAACTCCAGTGTCTGAAGACCAGCCAGGTGGTGGACCTCAGAATTTTTAGTCCGCGGGGGACTGTTGAGGATCATCCTAAGGAACTTGTTTTGAATCCTTAGGAGTTTGAGGTGATGGTGAGGTGATGGCATTTGGCGCAACTCTCCCAGATTGGCATCCCGTATTCTATTACGGGAAGGATGATTTGTTTGTAGACAGCAAGCTTATTTTTCAGGGACAGGGTAGACCTCCTGTTGATGAGTGGATACAACGATCTTATCAAGATGTTGCACTTGGTTTTGGTTTTGTCAACGTGCTCCCTGAAAAGAAGTTTGCTGTCTAGTGTTAGCCCGAGGTACACGACCTCTTTGGACCATTCCACCACTGAGCCGTTTAAGCAGATCTTATTATTTTCAGACGGATCAAGTCTGGGAGATTTTGAGTGTGCAAAGATGATGACCTGGTTCTTTGCCGCGTTGATACGGATCTTCCAGCTGTTGAAATATTCAGACAGGACGTCCAGGCCTCTCTGAAGTTTGGCAGTCAGAGCGCCGATGAACCTACCCTTGTAAACAATGGATGTGTCATCTGCGAACAGAGACAACGATCCACCATCAGGGAGAGCCAGCATATCGGAGGTGAACAGGTTGAATAGAATAGGGCCAAGGATGCTTCCTTGTGTAACCCCGGGACCGATGTTGAAAGCATCCGAAGTGTTTGAGTTCCAGATTCAGGATGTTGTCGAAACCTGCGGCCTTCATGTTTTTAGATGATTTGATAAAGGCCAACAGTTCGTCAGCCGTAATCTCAGATTCCTCTGGAAAAATGTTATGAATCTGATGAAGATTGGTTGCATTTTCAGCAACCACAGATTCATGAGGGCTGACGATGTTTTGTCCGAGATTATGGGAGCTGACGAAGTGTTGACCTATCGCGGCAGCCTTCTCTTCAGGAATTATCAGATGAACCACTGGGTCGCCGGGACGATCCAGTGGGGTCAGTGGTGGAATGGGTCTTGGCTTATTTTTAGGGATTTTCGTTAGTTTCCAGAAGGGCTTAGCACAATCTGGGAGAGAGCGGATCTTGTTAGCAAAATCTTGATTTCTGAGGTCCACCATCCTGGCTTGGATGGTTTTTGTAAGACGATTGCAATGGGTCTTCAAGACACGTAACCAGAGCGCTGGTATTTCCTTCGGATGGAGTTACGGAGTCTGATGAGATCTTTGGTAATACTATCAAGGTTCAGAGTATTGCTCACCTCTCTGGATACTGGCACGTGTTGTTCCCTGGCCCGGGATATCGCCTCCTCGATGGAACGTAGACACCGGTAAACGTCCTCGGGCGTCTCTGGAAGGACACCGTAGTCGACAGTAGAGTCGACACAGTGTTGGAACTGCTCCCAGCTGACACGATGGTAGTTGCGTCGGGAAGCTTGGATTCGGTTGACGGATGAGCCTACTTCGGCCACCACCGGATAGTGGTCCGAACTCAGCTCCTGATGGGTCACAGGTAGCGAGATGATGTCTCCCATGTTGCTGATGAAGATGTCTATCGTGGAGTGAACGCCAGACCGGCTCAACCAGGTGGGACAGTCCGGCGCTAATATGGTGTAGCGAGCCCCTTGCAGGTCGTCGTTCAGGATGGTGCCGTTTTGGTTGCGTCGACTGTTGCCCCAAGCCTGGTCGCCAACGATGATGTACTTTTCGCGCCGTCGAGTTAGATTGATGATGTCCCTCCGCAGGTCTGCTGCCGACCCGTCCCTGATGGTGACTTGCTTGGGGCAGTAGGTCGCAATGATGGTGATAGGGCCGACAGGAGTGGAGACTTCTACCCCTAAAGCTTCGATGGTTATCGGCTGGAAGCTCGGCAGAAGCCGACAGCAGATGTTTCTCCATACAGCAATGGCCACTCCTCCTCCCCCGGAGCTGGTTCGATCAAGTCTTAGAAGCCGGAAGTTAGGAAGGTAGATGTTTACCTCCGGTTTCAGGTGGGTTTCGGTGATAACGGCAATGTCGATGTTTTGTTTGTTAAGGAAGTCAAAGAACTCGATGATCTTGCTCTTGAGCGAGCAAGCGTTCCAGTTGGCGATCTTGATGGTTTCACGGTCCATAACTGAGCATGAAGGCAGTCACAGCTTGGAGCTGGTCGGATTTGTTCCTGATGGTGTTGGCAATGTCGTGCATCTTGAGGAAGATGATCATTAGTTCCGCTGCGGTGAACCAAGAACCATCGTTGATTTCGGGCTGCGGTAGGGACGGTCCATCCTGACGCCAGTTTAGCCTGAGTTTGCAGGGACTCTGGCAGTTTGAACTTGAGCGGTGGCGGCTGCCGCAGCAGCCAATCGTTGAACAGGACGCGGATGCCCTTGAGGTCCATCAAAGTTGTTGAGTTCTTCTCAAGGTGGACCAGGTATAGCTGGTCGTGGTACTTGACGGCCTTGTTGTGGCGGGCCATCTTGTGAATTTGGACCGGCTTTAGTCCATTAGCCACCAGCTCTTCCAAGAGGACGCCTGTGTCCATGTCGTATAGTCCTCGCAGGACCACCATGAAACGGCTTAACAGCCTCGATGTCGTGGAAGAAGTACTCCACCTGTGCTTGGTCCAGCATGGCCTGAACCACGTTGTAATGGTTCAACGCAGGAACCATCAATTTGTATCCTTCCGTGCACAGCTGGATGGTGCACCGGACGCCCTTCGTGATGTAGAAGTTTATTTTTTCCCGCAGTCCGGGAGGGAAGCCTTTCACGTAGAAGGGCGGCATTCTGTCCTTTTTCGGCGGTCCTGTTGTTACCGTCACCGGTTCTGCACCGTCCTTCAGAACGGAGAACCGATTGTTGACGAGCAGCTTCTTCCCGGCAGTCGCACTGTCACTGTTGTCTTCAGGCCTTGACCGTTTCCCGGGATTGCCGGAACAACTCAATCGAACGAACGAAGAGAGCGAGAGAAGAAACGTCGACTGTACTGCTCATCAGTCTGGCAGCGAAAAAAAAAAACTTCTACAAACTGAGATAGCCCGTATTTATACCTACCCTACGTTCTTTCCATCTATCCATCTCTATTGGCTGCTAGCTGTGCCGGGATTTCCCCTCACGATGTTTCACACCAACGATATTTTACTCAAAATGAGTGTTTCATTACTCAAGTATTTTTTTTATACCTACATATAAAGTTATCAATTTTATTCATTAATATTCAACTCTATATACCACACCGGTGAGTAAAAAAAAGCACCAAAAATTTTGGAGGGGGCCTAGATAATTCTCGAGGGGGCTGGCCCCCTGGCATCCTCATTAGCTACGCCTATGCCGATCAGAGTGCTGCGCAGCAGCAGTATTCTTGAAGGGCTGCCCATTCTGTTGATCTGGCGTTGACGTGACCATTGTCTTCGACAGCTCGTACGGTTTGATATACAAAAAAAAAAACACATTTGAATTGTCAAAATACCGGGTTGCCAAACACACACAAAAATCAGTCAGATGACATGGCACTCTTGGTACAGTGCGGCACACTTGAGGCACACTGAGAAAAATGTTGGTGCAAAATAAGTGTGTAGAGTAACCACCCTTGGGTGGGGTTGAATTTGTGTTTTATGCAACCGTTAATGAACGACCCAACATTACGTGTTTAGACCAAAATAGCAACAAAACTAAACAAGATACAAAGGTGGTGTCAAAGAGAGCAATGCAGAACGATTTAAGAGGCATTTTTTGATTAGACAAAATAATTCACTTTATTACGTATCTTTTGGAATAATAAGGGAAAACACGTAGAAAAACACAAATTTTAGACATGTTTATCTCTAAAATGTAATTAAATGCAGCATACTTGAAGTAGGAATGACACTTTTAAGTAGGATATTTTCTAAGCTATCCAGTGAAGATAATAATTTTGTGCCAAATAGTATATTTTCCGAGTTAGAGCCAATTTGTAGCAAGCATAGAAAGAAAAACAGAAAAAAGCTCAATAACTCAGTAATCTTTGAGGTTTGTTCTATGCGTAGAACATTTTTTTCATAAAATATGATCTTCTATCACCCCTAAAAATATTTGCACTAAAGAATGAAATATATACATGTATATTTTTGATTATTTACCGAAAATAACTTGATTTTTTTTTACCGTGGAAAGCAATAATTTTTCCTACAACTTTGTCTAAGACGTCATTTCTATTGGAAGTGACATTTTCGAGTTATGATCAAACAATCATGCAAAGTTTTATACAAATTGGAGAAGGTCGAGTATGAAATTCGATTCAATTTTGTTTGCTATTGGGTCTGGAAATGCTCTGTTGGTTCCTTTGGGAAATATAAATTTGTTTCCCAGGAAATTTGAGCAGATTCCCGGGAACTGGGAAATTTGATTTTTGTTAAATTTCCCGGGATGTCCAGGAAACACTAGAAGTAGTACTGTTTCATCCACTGCAAGCTTTTTTTAAAAGCTTTATTAAGGAGATATTTAATCATCTGGCTAGTTCATCTCCAATCTACTCCAACCGTTTACGTTCGAGAAAATCAATTAAGGCACAGAAAATAGACGTCCAACTTCGGTCAGAAACTCAGAAACTGTTTTGTTGAAAATTGCCACTTGGCGCTACCAGCACTTAGTGTCTAGTGTAAATTGTGCAATGCCAGTGCCATCAGGTTGTCAAATAGGTTTTTTAAGTGGGGAAGTCGCCGTTAGTGTCGCTTAAGTCAAATAGGAATCTTTACACTAGTTTTTAGAGAAATTTTATGCGAGCCTCAACGCCTGTTCTCTGTGATTAAGGGTAACTTTTTCCGAATTTTTTCCACTGTTTAAAACGCTGCTACAAAGATCTCTGCATATCAATAAAGCGTAATGAAAGCGGGACGTTTCCTAAAATTACTGATTCAACTATTCCGGTCACAAACCGATAATCAAGTTTACGGCTTATGACTTGCTCTCCGGTAATTCTAAACGGATTCCTGATGTTAATGGGTCATTGAATACATGATTTTGATCTCTACTTACGGCGATACGACACAAACTGGACCGTAGTCGGTTTTCTGCCTCCACCGTTCGACCATGTTCATCAGCTCCACCAACGAATTCGTGGATGTTGGCACCTGTAAACATATGACCATTGCAATTGGATTCTAAACGATTTGTTTTCTTAACTTGACTGGTTCACCGAACTCACCTTGTGTCCCATGGGCCAGCATATCAGCTGAAAGAGCTGTACCGTTCTGGGTGGAGCTTTCACACCGGCCATCAGTTCCGTCAGCGAGATCACCTTCTTGTTGATTCGGAAGACCCACGACTTGATGTTGGCGTAGTGGTTGTGCGAGATGTGATCGATCGTAAAGACCGGACCGTACTTTTTCGAATGGCGACCCTCGGGCCAGCAGGAAGGATATTGTTGCTGTTTTGTAAATGGGGGACAGTTGTTTTGAATCCTACTAGGACTGAAAGTCGGAAATTATTGTACTTACCGAGTTTTGAGGTGGTTGACAGAGGACGACGACCGCGGAACATTCGTGATCGTACACTAAGGACCAGAATTCTCCGCAGGTTTTCTGTAAGGGCCACTCGGTAACTATATACTCTCTAGGCTTGGTGTAGCCCTGAAAATGAAAATTGAGAACGAATATGAAAAAAAAGGTACGCTAATTAAAGAGAACCGTATGCAGTGGGAGCAGTATCCCAAGGGTACTATTTCCGCGCGTACTTACATCTACAAATACAGCGTTAATGTAGTCGGTAAATGAATTTCCCTGAAACGAGGTAAGGTAAGGACGGAAGTTGTCAGCTGTTGGGAGAGGGAGAGAGAGAGAGATAGAGAAAAAAGATGCTGTTAACAACACCCGCACGTAATTCAATTAAACTTTTGCCAGTCGCGACGACGACGACAGGGCCAACGATGACGACGCTAGGAACAGCGTGCCTAATGCAGACACAGGTAAGCGGCTAGTGGACGCCTCCACCGTGCTGCGTGCTGGAATAGGTGGTGGATAGGTCCCTACGGAACACTAGGTACCAACACATTCTCCTTGGCACGGGAACACGGGAAGGCTGCAGACGTTGTTGACATTGACATGCTAATGTAATGAGAGAGCTATAAGCTGACAAAATTGGCGGAGTGCTCTGGTGACAAACAAAAATTGAATTTTCGGCGGTTTCCAAATTCGAGTGTCTATAAGTTGGGTAATTACATTGCGTAACTAAATAATCATATTGTCTCAAATTGCGACTATTTTTAGCAAATAATCCTTGATCCACATCTCCGTCCTGCTAGCGCGTGATAATATCGCAAATGTCAGCACATGTTCACTGCTAACTGTTTACCTCTCGCCGTTCCACTAAACTTACGTGGTACACAGAGCACGTCTCGGTTCTTATCCCGGTTGTCACCGCGGTGGCCCCCGGCGCAGTCTCCAATGGTGAACCGGGGCGTCTGTTTGCAAATCTGAGCGTACTCCTTTTGGTAGGAGTTCATTTTCGATACGTTATCTTTGAGGCTCTTCTCCTTCAACCGCTGCGACAGTTCCTTCACCGGAAACCACGAATTGCCGCAGATCACAAACTCCTCCAATGTGTCGTATACGAACTTGTATTGTTCCTGAAGGGGGAAGAAAATTTAAAAGTTTTTCGGTTGTGAAAGACTCGACCCGAGGGATGAACTTACCACATTTTCGATAAGGCCTTTCCGAGACTGTCGCAACTTTTTCAGATAACCAAACGCGTGAAACGAGTCCTCCTCTTCGGCCAGTTCCATGTTGGCATCGATTGCCAGGTACACCCCGGATCGCCCTCCGCCGTCACTGCGATTGGCGGGGGAAAATGTGTAAATTTAACATTCATTTAGATATACAATTGTGGAACTCACTTGCAATGCACCAGCATCGGACCAACCTGGCTGTTTGCCTTGATGATTGTCCCCACGACGGAGCGGACCCTTCGTCGGAACTCGAGGATCGCATTGGAGAAGGGGCAGGTGTGCGAGTGCCATTCGGTGTAGTGAAACTGCAGCAGGAAACGCTCCTCCGTCATTACCTGTACTTGCAGGAAGAGCCAGAGAAACGGAAATTCGTCATATTCCGTTCAGTGGGTTACCGTTATTGTTGTTAGCGTTATTCCCATGAGCGATGAGTGGGTGGAGAAGTGATGGAATGGGTGATGGATGTAACGAGATGGGAACAAGGTAGACAATGAATGAGACACAGCCCGGCACCTGCAGAATCACTCGACGTGCTCGAGCTAATGAGATGGGAAAATGTTCAAGTAAAATGTATGGGGAATGAGATAACTTTATAATCCATGGAAAAAAACGACAAATATTTTGTCAGGATGACACACGTTCCCGAAGACTATGATTAGCAAATCTTGTAGGATTCTGTCAGAGATTTAAGACGTATGCGATGTAACTTTCCTCCTCGCTTAGTCTACACAACGTGAGAGTTTATGGACAGACATATTCTATCGTGGGTGCTAAATGTATCCGGCTGCTGAACGCTTTTCACCATTACAAGTGCATGTTTGTGTCGTCCAAAGACGCTTCAAATACATGCAGAACACACGTCGTCAGCTTTGCCGGCGTCACAGGACCGTGTCAGTGGAATGCCATCACGTACTTTGCTTTGCTAGCTTTCTGTATGAACTATTGTTTGAAGAGAAGTTTTGATGGATTTGGCTGGAAGTTGGTACACAAATGACACCTTCACACAAAAGGGATGGAAGGCACGTGACTTGGAATGAGTTGATGATGAGGACAGTCTGTGCGGCTACAGCACTTACGTTGTCTTTGTTCACTTTAAATAACCTAAACGTTCTTATATGGAAATTAGCTAGCTCTTCTTCGGATTGCACTTTGATGTGAATGTCGCCGTAGATTTCCTCCTTTTCCCGGTTGGGTGGCCAGTACTGAACACACATTACCTGCGGGGGTAAAAGACAGAGAGAGAGAGAGAAAAGCAATGAGAAAAAGAAATCGTCCGGCGATAAGGAATATGAAAACAAAGTTCATTTTTCGAGAAGTAAAACTTTTTTTTAGAATTTATTAAACCAATTTCCTTTGTGGCGGGGAGTCAGTGCGCACTGCAGCAGATCCTCGGGTAAGTTGGGAATTGTAAAACAAAAAATGCGGAAAGATTGAGTTTGCTCCGGGGGTTAATGTAAGTTGTGGAAAATCAGATTTATTCGCCTGTACGTTTGACGATAACAGGGGTGTAACTGCTGAATATTTAAAGAAACACAAATAATTGTAAAAAATACAAAAAGTAATGAGGGAAGAAAATAAAGTTTCAAAACTGACACTGCCGAAGGAAGCATTTAACTTAAACTGCTCAAACTACGGTATCATAAGCAGGCTTATTTGCAGTTTTGTTTTCTATTTTTGTCAAAAGTAAAAATATTCTCTATTAATTTAACATTAATTTTTTTTTTTAATTCTCCTTTGCATTTCGATACCTCCTTTGGTCGACATTTCGATGATAGTTCTTATGTAGTGTTATTCGATATATCAAAGGCAGAGCTTCTGAATTACAGTGCCGGTTCGATTTTGGCACCGTGCCAAAATCGAACGGGTGTTGAAAATAATATTTTTTCGTTCATTGTGACAACAATTTTTAATAAACGTTTAATTATGAATGAAGCCGACGTCCTAAAGATGACCCTTGTGTTGACTCTTTTTCACTCCACGGTGCACAGTTTCTAGTCTAATTTCATGACCTGAATTAATAGCACCATGAAAACGTGGATTAAGAGTTATGCCGCCTTAAGCAAAGTTGATGGGCATGACTTGCTTCATATTTTTAACGAGATTCGGAGTAGGCGTTGCTGAGGTCGGTTGGCTTTTTAAAAGCTGTCACGATTTTTTTTTTCTATTTTTCCGCGAGTGTGATTATTTGATATATAAAGCATTAATGATAGTGAATCCGGAATGGACTTATCGGACAATAAACTATTTTTGGTATATAAATTTAGTCGTTTGTTGTTTGTTTGGAAGAGGAAGTGAAGTTTGTTGTGTTCGTGGGGAGGAGTGTTGGACGATCGATCAGCGTTGGATAGAGGAGAAAGGGTGAACATGTTGCCGAGTTCGTCTGTATAGCAGCCATCTTGCAAGATTCTCAGAGAAATATTAGCTATTCACTGCTTAAGCAGTTTACAAAACGAAGTAAATCTTGATCACACTGAGGAGCAAGTTGGAGTGATGAACCTATCTAGAGAGCACTCGATTAAGGACATTTCATTCAAGTTTTACCGGACAGCCAGACCGGATGTTGATTCTCATCAAGCAAACGATTTGGACTACTGCGCTGGAACATTGCTTGGCAGCTTGATACAGATTCACTTGGTCTCTCGATGAGATCGTTCTTATTATCTTTATTTATCTCTTTATATTTCACTTCAGCTTATCGTTTACCAAAACGAACCCTGCTGCAAACCCAACCATCTTACCCAACATCCCAGTGATTCCTCGTAGAAGTGCAGAGGATTTCTCGTTCTATCAAAGCGAGTGCAACGTCAACACATTCCTATCCATTCCTTTCTTGACCTGCGTTCGGGCGCGGCCGGCGCTGGTGTTGCCTAGTTTGAGATCACCAGTTTTTACACATTAAGGATGATTGCTAGTCCCAATAATCAGGATTTTCCAGTAATCAAAGGATCACATTTTAGTCCTTGTTACTTTTTATGACTTGATATTTAATAGTGACAAGACTCGGGCAGTGCATTTATATATTGTATATTTCAAATCAAAAATATTGCTTAGGTTCATAGATTTCACATAATCCTTTTCCCTTTGTCCTTCGCCTTTTCCTTTCTCTCTTCTCTTTTCAGAAACCGAGTAATGGCGCTATATCCATAAGTCATATAAGGCTAGGACAAGAGTTAGTGCTCATGCCCTCATGCTCTAGCTTTGATGCTTCCAACGACCAACCAATCATAATTACCAAAATCGAAACGTACGGTACGAGATGTCCACGTTTCATCCATTTATTGGATTTTGAAGCATCGTGTTTAAATTTTCAATTTAAACAGCCCGATATTTTCTGAATCATCTTGCCCCTTAAATGCTGCACAGTAGGCCTGGCCGTTTTGATATGTGTGACGCATCTTCGATTTGAAACATATATCGAAAAGACAATAAAAATTATGTAGGTATATAGGGGAATTTACGTATTCTCGGCAACCTAAGCAGCGACCTGCTTTCTATAGCCTTTTTCTCTATGGAACGCACACATATGCAGTATTGGTTTGTTTACAATCTTTTGCTGCCAGCTGCTCTAACAATTTCAGTCGAAAGAATTGTCAAAAACTGTTTTGAAACGCTTTTACAAAGCTCCAATCTTCTCTAGTGAGAGCGAGTATTGTCGGCAACCAGTTTTTCTTCGGCAACCGTTCCATTTGAACTGCATGTAAATCTGCTGTTCTATTATCGGCAACTCGAAATCAGCTACAATTTGTAGTGCGTGTGTTTCATTTCAAGAAAACCCTGCTAGATTGCTTTTTCTCAGTGATAAAAATATAGCCAAATTGAAGCTGAAAGCATAAAGAATAGTTTGCATGCATTCAGCGAAGTGTTTTCGTAAGAAAATCCAGTGAAAATAGTGTTTCAATTTGGGTTGCCGAAAATAGTCTGTCATGCCGAAGCCGTCATTTTCCCTACATCATTTTCCAGGATGCTTTCAAGAACTGGCTGTGTTGATGTTAGATTAGATTAGATTAGATGACTTACTTCATCCTTTTTAGCAGGACAATGGATTTGGAGTCGGAGTCAGATGCATTTGCGAGTATATGAAGTAGTCAGAGATTCAAGAGCATTATTAATATAATCTTTGCAAAGGAATGTATGGATCAAAGTTATATTCGATAAATGTTTGATGATAATTGAAAGTAGAGCTGTTGGGATTAGACATTATTTCTTGGGATAATTCAAAAATTGCTGGAAGATGATCAGAACCAAAGCATGGGTAACCAATTGGCTACAAAGTTGACATGAATCAGTTAAGACCAAATCAATAGTTGAAGGATTTCTTGTAGAAGAAAAGCATGTTGGGCTGTTTGAATATTGAATAGCTTAATAACCTGCAGAACAATCATCAAATAGAATTTTACTATTGAAATTGCTTTGAACATTATTCCATGAGTGGTGATTTGCATTAAAATCATCAATAATGAAGAATTTAGAGCTATGACGAGTAAGTTTCCGAAGGTCACACTTGAGAAAATTCTTTTGCTGGCCTACGCATTGGAATGGCAAATACATGTAAGTTGTCCATGTTTAGTTTCATAAAATTTGGAGTCAAATGAAGAAAGAATTTGATGTTTGATACGAACAATGATGGAAACGACACCAACGGCCCCATCAAGACGATCATTTCGATAAATGAAACCGTATAATCAGGTTTAAGGAATGTTTCAGGAATATTTAATGTTTTAAAATCCATTACTGAATTTCAAAGTCATAACTATCATAGTTGGTTGAAAATTCTATCTAACAGGAAGCTTTAGTGTGATAATTTGGTTGGTTGGTTGGTAATTTGGTTTATTAAGGAGATTTTCAGCCAATGTGTGATAATGTATTAGCTAGAGAAAGGTCTGATGAGGGTAGGTTGATTATTCCGCTAGAGCACGGCAGTATGAACATTGCATAGAAGTTGAAATTGAGCGAAGGGCCATTAATGCGACTATACTACTTTGCATGAAACAAAGCAAGGCGGGAGTTACCGTCAACAATGCTGATGATTGTACAGCACGCAACAACCACTCTACTGCTTTCTCTCTTATAGTTTGGTCAAGAAGAATCGGAAATGCTTTCGGCAACGTGGGGCTTTAAGTAGTGATGAAACGTCGCTAGAAATATTCCACAGCCACAGAGAGCATATGAGCAAGTCAACCGCGTAAGCGGCGCTGGTAGTCATAGTTGTGGTAATCATGATTGCATCTCACTCCAAAAGGCCTGGATTCAATCCCAGTCGGCGCCACCGGGATTTTCTGAGGCATACAATTTCTGATGACGCCTTTCTTCGGTAGGGAAGTAAAGCCTGTTCGTCATCGGTTCATGAGTTGTAAGATGGGTCGATAGGTAGGGTCCAGGTGTGGGAGCTGTCTCCCTGGTGGTAGCATTCGTACTCAGATCGACGGAAAAGTAAAGCAAGGGGAAAAAAAGTCAAACGCGCACTGTTTTGTTTGTAGATTTGAAGAAATACTTCAAGCCTCCTCATCCAATTATGTATTAGTTAGTTAAAGAAGTGTGCGTTTGACTAGTACTGTCGCATTGATGGCCCTTCGTTTAATTTCAACTTCTATTCAATTTTCATACTGCCGTACTCTAGCGGAACTATCAACCTACCCTCTTCAGACCTTTCTCTAGCTAATAAATTATCAAACTAAAGCTTCTTGTTCGATAGCATTTCCAACCAACTCTGAAAGTCGTAAACACTTTGAATGTCATAACTATGTTATTATACGATAGATGAGGAGGAGAAAGTATAGAATTGATAGTTCCGTTTAGAGTACGCTGCCGTTCTACGCATATCTGTCCCATGTTATTTTTGGACGTTTTTCACTTTTGTTCATAAAACAGTACATTTTTAGGTAAACTTTCGAATGAAAATAGAAAAATATGTTATTTGTTTTAGGCTTATTAAAAAACAACATCAAGTCCTATGTTGAAATTCTACGCATAACCACAGACAAACATACATAACTCTTAGAAGAAAATTGTTCGGAAAAAATATCGTCAAGCGTATTTTGCATGCGCCTTAGCACCATCTATCATCCACATTCCCAAGCATTGTTTTGCAACCGGATCATCCCTCGTTCATGAAATTATTTCACTAGTTACTTTTCCCTCGTTCTGTCAACGCGTCAGCTGTGTTGAATAAAAACAAAACAGATGGAAGTCAGTGATGTCGGTTCTACGAAATTTTCCG